CACACATGTGTGTGGGTGGTGGTGGTGATCACAGTAGGCAGATTATCCCACATCTTCCTACTGTGATGTTTTTACACCTTTTTCTGAAAAGTATTGGCCACTCTCAAAAGAGAGAATACTGGACCAGATGGACTGTGGGGCTGATTCAACATGGCAGTTCCTATATTTATATTTTGATCCTGGAAAATATACCTAGCGTATTGACAGTATTACATGAATAGCTCTGGGGCACCTAGCTTCCGTGGGAATTTTTTAGAAAACATCTGCCATTTGGTGCAGCCTGGTCTATTCTAACTATTGCTATTTGGAAGTGTTTTTATTAACTCTACGTGGATGAATTCATCAGAGTAAGGGAAACCATCCCATCCTTTCCTTAGGTGGTAGGATGGAGCATGGGGAGAGGGTGTCATAGAAAACATCCAAGTATATGACCACACTGTTGCAACCATTACCCAGAAAACTCTACAAGGACTATTATGCCTTTAAAAATGAACTGCTTCAATGAATTTTTATATAGATATAGTTGAATATATATCCACCTGCATAGAACACAATGCAGAATCAGGGCCCATGTGAATTAAATAAATCAAGTAGGAACAAAGTACTCACAAAGCAAGAAGTTCATTGTGGGTGAAATTAACCCACACTGTGAAGGAGCCTTGCCTGGAAGTCCTGCAGGTGTGCAGCAGAAGCCCTTTGTGGGTGGGGAATGGGAAAAGTAGCTAATCAAGTGCCCTCTGTACTTCCTTTCATGTCACCAGGTGTGTTCTGCCCCAACACTAATAGGCTAATATGGGGGAGGCTTGATTGCAGGAGCTACTAGATCTGCACTTAGGCAGAGCCAATGGCACAAAACCCTTGAACGGGGGGGCCTGAAGGGGCAGTTAGTCATAAAGAGTCTGGGTTGTAGCTAGCACTGGGCAAATGCCTTTTAAAAATCTATGTGAGTATGCCTTGAGCCAAAAAAAAAAAAAAAGGGGGGGGGGGTATTTGCTTTGGCTGTATTCATACCTCTTTTGTGCTTGCTTGCCATGGATATTCTAACAAATAAATTTGCAAGCCCGAAAGTCCATGATAGTGGCAAATTTTAAGTGAATATTCCTGGAAAGATAACATCGAATTCATAAAATACCAATATTCACACCAGTCATGTGATTCTAAGAGTTACAGTCCTCCAGTATGGAAACAAGCAACATAACAGGTGACATTGGTTTCCAATCAAAATTAGCCAGCTACTACTTGCTCAGCGCTAGCTATGGCCTCATCACCTCCCTGTAGGCTGGGCCTGGGGTAACAGAGTTCCCCCTCACAAAGTTGATTCACTTTATGAAGGAAGGGGTGATGGTTCAGATCAAACCTAGTGTTTTGTGAAGCATTTAACCCATGTTTGTACTTAGGGCTGTTTAACACACACCTTAGTGACTCGTTGTACAGGAGAAAAATCTCATTCCCCCCCAGTATAGCAGTTTCATATATAACCATTGGAAAATGGCATTTCCCCATAAATGGGCATAGCTGACAGTGGATTGCATGTTCTACCTGGGTCATTGGCCTGACCATTGAGCTAAACAGGAGTTTCACCTGTGTGAGGGCTGCTGCAGGATCAAGCCCTGTGTCAATGTACCCACTACATTGGCTACACAACAACTGATGATCAGTGCCAGACTCTTAATTCTCAAGTCAAATTAGGTGCTAAATTTAGGTTTTACAAAAGCAAGGTTTCATTAAATCTACCATCAGTATAAATTTTTCCTTTTATTTCCTTTTTAAAATCCCCCAAAGATAGTTTTGGGGGTTGTGTTTATTTGCTTTGGCTCTAAATATTACCCCTGCATTGCATGCTGCCCAGACATTGAAGCATTTGAGCTCAGATGTTACTGTGAGGGGCAAGAAATAACTTTGACAGACAGCGCTAGGGCCCGAGACCCAGGAAGTGAACCTGATTAGCCACGGGAAACCTGACAAAGACAGTTTATGTTTCTTTTCCAAGCTGAAAGAAATGCAACAACTAAATAATCAGCAAAAAGTGGCAGCGCGTAGCTTCGAAACAGCCTTTAGGTTTCAATAAAGGAAGCTATTATTGATGACACAGAAAATGGGATATAGATGTACATGGATTTTTTTTAAAGGTCAGGTTAAAACAAAAACCTACAGGTGGGATTCCTTCTCCCCACAAAAATTAGCTTAACATTTCATGTCTAATTGCCTCGGGGTTTGTTTGATTCATTGCGCTGAAAAGCCAGGGAGGAATTTATAACCCTAACCCAAGGCGATCAGATAATGTTTAAAAGAAACAAATGGAAAATCTCTTCCCCATCTCCATCATTCCGCCCGGAACATAAGGGGTTGACAATAATCAGGGTCAAGTAACACTGGAAATCAGACTGCAGAGACTAGGTGAGTGGCGGCCTGCCTTGAACTCACCCTCCAACGCCTTCTCTAACACCCCGGCTTTAACTGGAGAACAGAATTTGGGTGGCTGGAATTTAAAGGGAACAGACAGAGACGTGATTTTAAACAGATCCCTCATTTACGTTCTTGCTCCAAATCACATGTGCCCGATCGCGTATCTGTCAGCAGAACTGGATCTATATTTAAAAAAAAAAAAAATGGTCTGCCCTTTAATCCGTGCAGCCAACAATGAAAACCCTTCCGAGCCACCATGTAAAGACAGGTGCTTCTGACTCTATTGCCCTAATCAAAGGTGTCTTACTCAAGTGGAATGTGGATTATTTCACCTTCCATTGGCTCCAACAAACGCATTCTCCAGAACGGTCAAATACAAACCTAACACAGGGGAGGATCAGAATTGCCTTCCACGGGCAGGACTCCAGAGCTGTGAGTGGGAGACTTGGCAAAGATTCAGGAGGATGTTGGCCTTCCCTTTGCTTTTTAAACCCGCAGGTTGTGTCGTGCTTGTAGGGAGTGGGGTGTGTGGGTGGAATCCTGAAATGGACTTAAATTGCCTCCGAACGCTTTTTAAATTACAAATATACTTTTTATTACTGCAGAAGAGGCTTCTTTGAAAACAAGAATAGCGCACCGTGTGTAAGCGGGGGGTAGAGGAGGCCAGTGTGTACAGTCAGGGAGCTTCACCAATTTTAGGCTCTCAAAATAAACAGTTACCCTCAGAGTGGGCCTTGGTTCAATCGGAAAGACAGAGGGGCGGGGGGGGGGGATTAAAAGACAATCGTGTTCTTTTTATTGATCCGTTCATTTGCCAAAATGTAGTTGCAGGTTTGTTTGTTTTTCCCCGAAATGGGGTTCAATATAAACGCTTGTAAATTTCAATCGGGACAGACTCAACGGTTTGATATATTCATAAGGAAGAAGAATGGGGGAGGTTGGCAGCTGGGGGGGGGGGGAACTGGGAGCTGTTTTAGCAACAGGTTTTCTCTCTTTTGGTAAAGAAAACATAACTAATGATGTGCACAATCTCTTCTCCCTTCCCCCAGTTGTGCAAGGACTAAAACCGGGCGCTATTAATTATGTTATTAATTATTATTATTATTTTATTTTACATACACCTCTAGAAACGTAAACTCAGTTTTATTCTTGCTGGGAGACTCCTTCATCGTCGTCAGCATTTTCTTTAGTTTGATTAATTATTTTTGTCTCTTGCAGGTTTAAAATAAAGAGTCTAACTCTACCTCTGATAAATTGCCTCATTAAACAGCTAGATCCATATTCCCCGATCACATGTGAAGCGTCTGCAAACTTTTTTTTTTTTAAATCTCCACTTGATTTTGGAGCCGGGGAGCTGTCCGCTTTGGAAACAATCCTAAAATAAAGATGGAGTGTAAACAATGCCTGGTAGCGCCTAAAACTGCTACTGCTGGAAACAGGGGATATTACTGGGCACCCAGAGATGAAAAATTGCCTTCGGAATTTAATTTACACCTCCAGTCTCTGATCTTTCTCTTCGAGTTTGATGCAGGGACCGCTAGAAAAATTACCACCCCTCCTGGATAACTGAGCACAATTCTGATTTTCACCAAAAATCCGTTCTCTGTTAAATTTGCCCAGTTTAAAGTAATAACAAAAGATTCGCCGGTGCTCCGATCTGGGAAACATTTGCTCGCCTGCAGTTGTTAAAAAGTGGCTAACTACGTGCAGCCATAGATGTATGGGATTTGTGGATACAGAAATTTGTAAGAAGTGCATGCCCGAGTTGGACATGACAGGTTAGTTAGTACCTTTGATCTCAAGGAACTCGATTACACTTGCGACTCAAAACCTGGCAAAGGAGAACCATCGGGAGGAGACTGAGAACTGGGCAGAAGGAAATCCAGAAAAGGCAACAGGTTTTATTGCGCTTGAATTCCGCCAGCATTCTGCGGGAAGCCGCATGAATTGCAACCGACTTTGGTTTAGACTTTAAGCTGTCTTGAAAATCCCTCTTATTTTTATTTCCCCACATCTCTGTTTGTAACAGTGGCAATCATTAGAGGGCCCAGCCCTGCATTGATTTCTCGGACAAAACTCCCCCCTGAGCTCCGGATCGGGCTCCCAGGGATTATTTCTTTACTGGAAGCCCTTTGGTTTATCATTAATATTTCATTCTGTCTCTCCTTTTTATATAAAGAGATTACACAGGCACAAGGGTCGGGGAACTCCTATTCTGAAAATCTAGCGGGTAGTGTAACTGCAATGTCATTTTTTTTTATTAACACCTGAGGAAATGATACTTGTTGTTGGCCAGTAAAATACTTATTATTGGTCCGAAAGGAAGCAAGCCCCGGCTTAATCAATTGACTCGCACTCGTAATTTAAATAAACAACTACATGCCATGTTTAGAGAGTTTTGTTTGTTTTTAAAACCGGTGTAAACTCAGCTCTTCCATTGTGAATCCCAAACTGCCCCATCTGTTCGGACACACAACAGAACTATAGGTCCAGAAAGGCAATCGACTTCAGAACATCCACTAGAAAGGATTTTTGACATTTTGCATCGTACATGGTGTTTTAAATATAAGACGAAAGTACACCTAATTCTGTCGTCATATAGATATAATATATTTCACTCTCACCACATAAATACAAAACATCCAAATAGCCAAAAACATTCAGAACAAAAGTTAGTAGCAAGTTCTCGGCGCTCGATTCATTCATTATTTTCTCCACTATTGCCTAGAAACTTCAGACGTAAATAATTCACAATAAAATTACTATTTTGTTTTCTGTCCTGCTCTCTCGCTCTCGCTCTCTCTCCAGTTCTGTTTTATAGTTAATTCTCTAGACTACAGCAACCATTCCATTTTTTGTAATTATTTTTGGTTAAGGTTTGGTGGCACGTATTTATACAGCTTGTAAACGCCTTATATTAAAGGTTAAAGAAAGAAAAACTAAAACAAACAAACAAACTAGCTAACTACAGAATTCTTTTTCTGACAAATTCAAGTACTGAAACGTAATGTGAAATAGATCAGAATGCTAGAGTTTGGAATAAACATCCTGGCGGATGGAGAAAAAATAACCGTAACAAGTATGCAAAAGGACAAAAGGGATTATTACACCGAAGTACAAAACGATACGTTCTTTATATTTTACTTTCATTTTAATCAAAATGTAGTAATTTGCGAGAGTATTCTGGAGGGAGGAAACCCTAAAGATGTTTAATTTGGATACACTTTGCAGGTACTGGAAACTCAAGTAGAAAAAAACCTGTCATTTTAATAGGTATAGATGGAATCACGCCAATCTCTCTACCTTACTTTCCCTTATTTCACATATTTACCTTTACAACATTTTAATGTTATTTTTGGTTCGAAGAACTAGCTCTTGAAACTAAAAAAAGGGGCGTTGCATTATCTTGAAGTGAAATATTGTTTTTATTAAAAACAATCTAAAGTCACTGGTTTCTGTATCTGCATTTAATGAGCGGGTTTTAAAGGCAGTCTGTTCCGATCCTTAAACTATTCAATATTTTTTTTAAGTTGACAGACTTTTTTTCTGGATTGGATCTGTATCAAGAGCAAATATAAATACAAAGTAGGATACTAAACTGTTAATGTAGTGCAGTCATCATATACACATATATGGGGCCACAAAACCTTGAGCAAATTTGTGCTTAGAGTCACTGAAGTCTTGGCAACACATTTAAATCCACCTGATGGTTCCATTTCTATGTCCGTTTGTTTGGAATCGACTTCCCCACTCCTGCAGCGGTTTGCATTGGTTTAATTCAGAATATAGTCAAAACGGTTATGATTAAACTGCAATCAACTTCCCCTTCCCATTTCCCCCCTCCTCCCCAGTCCCTTTCCCAGATAAAAACGTGGATCATCGTTAGGTTTGCATTGGTTTGATTCAGAATGCAGTCAAAATGTTTGGTTTTGAGCTGCTGGCAAACCTCCTCCACCCTGCCTTTCCCCCCCCCCACACACACACACCCGCCCACGCTAAAATAAAGGGGTCTCCATCACTAACAGTGATGGCGTCCCGGCTGTGTGGTCAGGAATCCGTTTATTTAGCGGCTACACTTGGGTGAGGTGTTTGTCCACTTCATGATTTCGCCTCTAAACATAGTTTCGTTCCTCGTTGCATTCGGAAATAAGTCTGGCTCGGGAAGCATGGTCGGGGGGGCGGATTGTTATGGGGGGGCAGGAGAGTGTGCGGAGGGGGGATTGAAGGGAGGGCTGATGAGATACTAACGTGTCATTATTCCATAAATATCGCCACAAATAGATACTATAAATATAAATACATAGAGTTACTCAGAGTCAGTCCAGGGCTTTTTTCTCAGCGCCTTCTTTATTGTTGGTCCTGGAGTAGGGCTCGAAGGCGGAAGAGCTCAGGTACCTGGCTGATAGTTCCTGCAAGTTTCCTGCCAGAGATCCGGCCATTGTCAAAGGATTAGAGGACAGCCGGCCGGCCACCGAGCCCAGGAGGGTGGGCACCGGCAGGCTGAAGAGGTTATGGCCGGCGCTGGGCGAGGCGTGGAGTCCCGCAGCCTGGGGGGGCCCAGCCGCGCTGCTCACCGCCGGCGAGTGCGGGGAGCCGCCCGCGGGCCCTGAGCTGGTGGTGCCCGTGGTCCCGATGGTGAGGCTGGGGGCCCGCAGCGCGGAGCCCAAGGCGCCGGTGGCGCAGGGGGGCAGGAGGCCGGGCAGTCCCGGCGGGGAGAGCAGCCGGCCTTGCTCCAGGAGCCGGAGGACGCTGCAGGTGGCGGCGGTCTCCGACACCACGGACCTCAGCTCCGAGTCTTTGCCTTGGTCCTTTTTCTGCTTCGTGCGCCTGTTCTGGAACCAGACCTTTACCTGGGGAGAGAGGCACAGGGTGAGCGGGGCTGGGGGGGCAGCCCGGGGGCCAAGGGGCTGCCCCCCCTCTCCATTTACCCCCGGCCCGGCCCTGGGACTGGACAATGGACGCCGGCTTGAGCATTGCCGGGCACTCCGGAATCAGGGAGTTTACACCGCATCGGAGAGTCTGGGCGGAGGGAGGAGGAGGCTTAGGGAGTTGCAATGAACCACTCAGCTGCATTTTTTACGACGGGGGGGGGGGAGAGGGGGAATTTATGAGTTCTGACTTCGGGAGCTGTGTAGCACCCGGAGGCACCTTAAAGGGCCCGGGTTCTCCACTCCTGCAGCCAGCGGAAAATTCGCCATAGGTTTCAGTGGTAGCAGGATCGGACTCTTTAAATTGGTTTTATTTCAGAGCCAGCCCTAAACCTGGGGCGGGTGGGGCACCCCCCGGCACAATCCAGCAGGCTCCGAAGCTGCACCCTCGGGGAGAGGGGGCTGCTCATTCCGCTCCTCTTCCCTCCCCGGCAGCGTGGAGTTACACGCTCATCCAGTGACAGTAACGTGGTTCTTCTCTGTTCTCGGCTCCCACGCCAGAGGAGAAGGCCTGGTGCCGCTGCCCGGCCCTTTCCCCACATCTCATAGCAGGCTGCATTCCCCTTCGCCCCTTTGAAATACGATTTTAACTCAGAGAAATACAATCTATATTCCTCTAGCCTCTGAGACTGTTTAACTTGCCTTACCTGCCCCACGGCAAAGAAAGGCTCATTAGTTTGTCAGAGGAATTTATTACCCCGGGTGATCTTTTAACAGACATAGGGAACCAGGCTTTAGAAGTTTGTTCTTTTTCCCCCGCTGACTTTGGGGTTATTTTCCCCCTTGCACTTTTAATTGTTCGAACGGACATAAATATTCACTGGACACTGCACAATCATACAGGACACTCTGTTCACTGCCCTGTCAATAACTCCTCGCTCAGCCCCCAGAACAAAAAGAGAGGCAGTCAAATAGGGCAGAAACTTCGCTATTGTCCACCAACCTAGTTCATTTAATAATAGGGAGGAATGAAAGATAAATACATCTGATAAGACGGGTTTTCATTTAGTGGCACTTACACAAGTAGGACGAATTACCGGCTATCTATTTTCCGTTATGAAGCACTGGGGATTGTCTAGCGTTTTTCCCCAAAGCAGCTAATAATTCAGTTACTTTTTCGCTGTCGCATTACAATATTGTTCCCTTTCGCAGAGTCTCTTCTATACAGTATTTCCTTCCCAGGTAGAATACTTAAGGCCCGTGTCACCTCCTATGCTAGACGCTGCAGGGGGAGATCAGGGGGTTCTAAATTACAGAGGGAATTGGCTCATCCTTATTTTGCACCAGAGGTTCTGGGCGGAAAAAAACAAAACAAAACCCCTCTCTCTAAAAAGTTACAATGGGTCAGCCAATGCTGACCTGATTCTTGTGAGGTGCAAAGGATACTTTTTCCCCCTCTCTTTAAATTGCACTTGAAAACTTAAAATGTGGCCGGTGTTGCAACCCAACCCCCCACGCCAGGTAAAAATGAAATTAAGAACAAAGCAGAATTTGTATATTAAGCCATTTTAACGCAGCACGATTCCAGCTCCCTTCATCGCCAAATTGCGCATGGACAGGTTTTTTTTCCCCATGCGATTCTGTGAAAATACCTCCCCACGCTCACACACACTCCAAACGCAAAAAACAACAAACACAACAACAACTCAATTTAAAGACACATTAGCAGCAAAATCAAACAAGAGAAGTTCAGAGGGGCAAGTAAATATATCGAATAGAAAATCATTTATGAGCTCTGAATTTGTTGATTATATGCTTGCCGGTAGCGTACTTTTGTCTGAAAAAGTCTAGCAGTCTAACGTGGAAAAGGGCATAAAACTTGATTTGAATCCACCCACAGCTCACGGGAAGCATTGGAGCTCCTGCAAACAGTGACAGCTGCCTGCATGCGGACTTGTGTTATGAAAAGTGGTTTGCATTGCTTACACTGTATTGCCTTTCAAATCTGGACCCCTCCACCCCCAGCTCCCACCCGGGAATTCAATGCCACACATTTTGAAAGCAACTCTCCCCCCCACCCCACCCCCCAAGCATCATTCTGATAATGCGCATTGTGTATCGAATGTCTCATCAGAAACCGCTTCGCCCGCATTTACTGAGTTCCAGAAGAGATTTGCTACATTCTGTAGCTCAGTTTGTGACCAAACCAAGTTGTCAGCTACTTTTAAGCCTCCCTATTTTCTTTCAGGGTGTAGCAGCTTGCTCTCTCTCTCTCTCTCTGTGTAAGCCTGCGTGTCAGGTTGTGTCTGAGGGTGAATATTCACAGCTCACTGGGATTATTATGGGGTGGGGGAAACGGTTTGCCACAAAGTGTGCGCCTGTGTCTGCCAGGAGGCCTGTGATCCTGTGTGAACCAGGCAGTGGGCTCTGGAAACAGAAACAGCCTTTGCCTGTCTAGCCGATGTAAGCCTGCGAGCAGGTGTTTATGTGGACGAGGCTTCAGCTGCATCCCTGAGGAGTGTGTCTGTGCTGGGACTCGGGAAGGGGGGGGTTGGGGGGAAAGAGGTCTCAAAGGTGCCTAGCAGCAGGTGCTTTCTCCGCACTACCTGAGTTTCCGAAAGATTGAGCTGCCGGGCCAGTTCGGTCCTTTCCCGTCCCACCACATATTGGCACCTCTGGAACTCCATCTCCAGCCGGTACAGCTGCTCCGCGGTGAAGGACGTTCGGGTCCGTTTGGGGCGGTCCAGATCAAGTCCTTTAGGCAGAATAATCTCTCTTATTGAACCTTTGGCATCTGGCAAAGAAACGCGCAGTCACTTTACACCGAGGAACCGCTTTCGGAGCAATGCAAAGAGCTGCCGGGCAGGCTCTCAGCCCGCGTCCTCACCCAAAGCCAGGTTAACCAGGCGGCCATCGGGCTGGTAAAATCAGGGCATGGCATGGGGATACTGTACCCAGGAAAAGAGGAGGCGCTAAGGGTCAGAGATCTGTAAATAATGCCCCCAGCCCGACTTTCTTTTTAAGGACGTTTAATACATTTCACTAAGAGATCTCAGTGCTGTAACAAACACCAAGCGTTCTTGGGCCCTATTCACTGTAGGGTTATTCTTTGGTGCTGCTGGGTTATTGTTATTATTGGGTAGCAAGCCTCGCAAGCCCAAAAGCAGCTATTCCGGGGCAGGACCATTTCTAGCTTATGAAATGTTTCATTTCACCATGCAGCGGTTTTGGATTTTAAGTGCATCTCGCACCCCGAATGGCAGGAGAGAGTTATGGCCGCTTCTTTACTCTTTAAAAATGCCCAGAGGGGGAGAAAAAATTAAAACAAACCACACAGAAAAGTCTCACTTTTATTTTAGCACCGGCCTAAGAAAGCAGGGCAAATCTGATTAGCAAAACTGTCACGCTGGAGCTCGATTCAGATTACACTAGAGCATTCCCAACCTTGCTTTCCCTAATTTTACCTCCACACTAAACTTTAAGTCATAGATAACCACATCATTTCAACCTGACCCCTCTCTAGGGTCAATCGGTCGCGCAAGGATTAATTATTGTTTACAAGGCCTCCTTTGCACTGATTTTATTATAATTCTATCCTTCCTACACACACACACCTTAATAAAACTGTAATTTCCGCAGAGCCCTATCAAATCATTTCATTAGTGGCCTGGGAAATGATCCCGAAGGATGGGGAGGAGGGAAATAAAAGCAGTCAATATACAGAAACCCAATTCAATCCCTCCTGTCTCCTTTTTAAAGAGTGATTGCTTCGGAAATAGTTCTTCCGCCGTCAACCCCGTAAATTCCACCTCACATCATGGACCCTGGGACAGAGGATCTAGCAGAAACACCTACATTTTATATATATCCCCACCCCAGAATGAAATAACCCAACAAAACCACAAACACCACAAATGCACCGAGATGCAAAAGGCGAAATACACTATTTTTATCCGAGCATCTCCTTTCTAGCGTCCGAGGCGTGCAGAAGCAGCGAGCGCAAGGACTTTCCGTGGGGAAGGGCATCGTAGGTGTTACCAAATTAAACCGCGATCGCTGCTTATTCGTGGCATTGCTCAAGATTACTCGGGCGCACCGTTAGCCCCGCCGAGGGGGACTCTGACACTCGCCGAGCTCTCTGTAGAAGAGGGCACCGTTTGGAAAGTCTATGGCGAATCAAGCAAGGCTGTAAATAAATGCATTTCACGGCCCCCACGGTTGGCGGTTAAGAGGCCCCAAGGAACAGTGGGAAAGAAATGTAATGCAGATAAACTTTTCCCAGGAACCAAAGGTGTACATTAATAAAAGATACCAAAAAATAAAAAAATAAAAAACTAAATCAGACCCTATCAAACAGCCATAGACTTAGAACCCCTTGCCTCTGGAAATGCTGAGGTACACTCAACAGCGGTATTTCCCCCTCTGTATCCGCAGGAAAAGAGGAACATCTTGAAACCCCAACACACATATTTTTAATAAAAATAAGACTCGAATTCCGATCTCTCTCTCACACACACACACACACAAAATGCCTCCAAAACTCCTACCTCTAACTAGGATCCTCCTGCAATAGTCCGGGTCTGCAGAACTAGATTTACTTTTATTACAATCTTCCGAAACGGCCGAGGCAGAATAAGTCCCTTGCTGATCCTTCAAAAAAGAAGTAGAAATATTTCCTTCAGACCCTTTGCTTTCCTTGCCCTCTTTATGTCCGTTCTTCGAGACCCGGTTCGCTTCAGCCTCTGAATTGCATCTAACGTCCATTTTGTCTTGTTTCCCAAACATGTAGTGCAATAAAACAAAGCAAAGAAGAAAAGAAAAGAAAAGAAAAGAAAAGAAAAGAAAAGAAAAGAAAAGAAAGTCTAGGTTGGCTGTTGCACAGCCTGCGGTCAGACGGGTGGGGATCTGGAAAAGCACCTCTCGCAAGGAAGGTCGGCTTTGATCCCAACAGAAAGGCAGCTTGCTTCTTCCTCGATCCCTACGTCCTAATGTGGCTGTCCAGCTTCCCTGAGCCCCAGTGATCAGGTACTCAACAGTACAACTCCAAAATGATTTAATGTCTGCCTTATTACAGAGACATGTAGTTGTTACACACACAGAGGGACGCGCACTCGCTGTTTCAATTGATTAGGGGTAATTTTGCAGCCTCCACATTTAGGTTACCTCATGAATACACTAAATTGTTTGGATAATATATCAGATCGTAATGGATGGTTTGTGTGCTTGTCCCCAATCAAGTAGAGTTTAGCCAGTGAATAAACTGAAATGATTGGTCTTGCTTTCAGGAAACACACAATCAAAAGGCTGAGACTTCCAGAAAGGGGGGCGGAAAAAAAAAAAACTTTTGACAAGATTCACCCTGAATTGTTAGCACCATTAGCAGCCATTATTAACTTTCTTCAGTCTGCCTTTGACCCTCCAGATTATACAGTGGCTTTATCCAAGACACGCCAAATAAATCTGAATAAAGCTGCTAGGAAAGGATGGAAACATGCAGTTGCAGAAAAGCAGCCTGGAGTCTAAACGAAACAAACCAACTACTGCACACAAAAAAGTTTTCCCCTGGAGTGGGTCTGTCCAAGGAAGCCGAGGATCAGCCCAGCAGAAATCCTCCTGAACACATCTCTCCACAGACAGCCATCTTAAACTCCTACCTCTCCTTAATTCAGTTCAGAGGCTTGCTTTGTGTGTGTGTGTGTGTGCTAATTCTGCACCTTCACAAACACTGAACCAATTGGTAGAGCCTGCTCATTGAAGGGGAAAAAAAAAAAAAAAAAAAAAAAAAAGCCAGCTTTGTGTTCAGATAGATCCAGGAGGGGAGAGAGGGAGAGAGAGAGATAGCCCGTGAAAAATCTCCACTGCGTGTCTACTAAAGGATAAAAAAAAGTTTTACCCTGGCTATTTCATTGTCTCTGCTACAATATCTTTGAGAACCGCAACAGCCAGTAATCCAATAAGACCATTGATTAGGCTACAATGATTCAATTCAAGCAAATGGCCTTGTGCAAAGAGCATGCTCCAGCCCTTCTTGTCACCTTGTAGGGCAGAAGCCCTCTTCATGCTGCTCTCCTTATTCATTCCTTTATGGGAAATGTAGAGCAAAAGGAGTGAAAGATGGCAATTATCTAATTGGACTATTAACAAACAATTCTCTGAGTGTGGCTGTCTGGCAATGGTGCTTGGGCGGGGTGAAAGGCCACATGTTGCACTGGCCCCATTCACAAAGAGTTTAGGGGCCAGAGGCAGAGAAAGAATTTTCTTTGAGAATTTTTCACACAAATCCAGGAGTCTCAGGTTTTCCTGTCTCTGTGTCTGATTCTCTGTGTCAGAGGGCTGGTGACTGGCATCTTTACCCATCTGAAGGTACTGTGCAGACCGCTAATATTGCAAACAGCATCACAAGCCAACATCAAATTGCAGCACCCTGTCCAGTTATGAGCATATTACACACTGCTCAACTTCCCGGGTCTGGTTCTGATTCTATTGGTGTAATTGCATTGACTTCAAAAGAGTTTAGTGATTCAGGCTGGGATAACTGAGGGCAGACCCTTGTTCTATGGTTTAAGTTTAAACTAGTGTAAATAGGCATATTTCAGGCCAAGAAATAAAATCAAATTTAAAAAGTGAATGCAATTTACACACACTTCAGACTATTCTGTCTCGAACAAATATTCTTCAATAATTGCCCAGATCAGCTAACTAGATTTTTTTCTATTATATTTCTCAGAAGTGTCAGATGTAGATAAAGAAGTCACTCTTGAGACCTGGATCAGCCCCTATGCTTTGTATATATAATTAATACACATATATATTATGCAGAATGTCTCTAGTCTGGAACAGGTTTCTTTCTCCTTAAAGCAAATGAATTTCAACAATTTCTGATGGTTTGTTATTATTAGTTATTCCTTGTATTGCAGTAGTGGCTAGAGCTTCAAATCAATTGGCGGCCCTATTGTGCAAGGCGCTTCCCAGCTATCTAAGGAGGAAACAATTCCTTCCCCAATCTAAGCACCCAATCCTGCGAGCTGCTCCGTGCCTGGATGCCTGCAGAGCAAGTTTACAACAGACACAACAAGTGGATGTAACAAACAAGCAGAGTGGTTAGGTAAGAGAACAAAAGGTAACAGTAGTAGGAATACATTTTTGCATAAATGAGCTATAGGCACAACTTGAAGGTAGGTAGGGAGGTAGGGAGGTAGGTAGGGAGGGAGGGAGGGAGGTAGGTAGGTAGGTAGGGAGGTAGGTAGGTAGGTAGGGAGGGAGGTAGGGAGGGAGGGAGGTAGGTAGGGAGGGAGGTAGGGAGGTAAGTAGGTAGGTAGGTAGGTAGGGAGGTAGGTAGGTAGGTAGGTAGGTAGGGAGGTAGGTAGGGAGGGAGGTAGGTAGGGAGGTAGGTAGGTAGATAGGTAGGTAGGGAGGTAGGTAGGTAGGTAGGGAGGTAGGGAGGTAAGTAGGTAGGTAGGTAGGGAGGTAGGTAGGGAGGTAGGGAGGTAAGTAGGTAGGTAGGTAGGTAGGTAGGTAGGGAGGGAGGTAGGTAGGGAGGTAAGTAGGTAGGTAGGTAGGGAGGTAGGGAGGTAGGTAGGGAGGGAGGTAGGTAGGTAGATAGATAGATAGGTAGGGAGGTAGGGAGGGAGGGAGGTAGGTAGGGAGGTAGGTAGGTAGGTAGGGAGGTAGGGAGGTAAGTAGGTAGGTAGGTAGGGAGGTAGGTAGGTAGGTAGGGAGGTAGGGAGGTAGGTAGGTAGGTAGGGAGGTAGGTAGGTAGGTAGGTAGGTAGGTAGGGAGGTAAGTAGGTAGGTAGGTAGGGAGGGAGGTAGGGAGGTAGGTAGGGAGGGAGGGAGGTAGGTAGGTAGATAGATAGGTAGGGGGAGGGAGGGAGGGAGGTAGGGAGGTAGGTAGGGAGGTAGGTAGGTAGGTAGGTAGGTAGATATGGTTGAGAAGTGTGGCGGAAGCAGTCCTGGCTGGCCATCGGATTCTAAAAAATCCTAACTAAGACTATTATTTTAAACATTTTTACATAGTAAATGTCCTAAGGCAAAGTAGGTAATACAGTGTTTTCCATAAAGGTCTATTGTGAAATGTAGAGAGAGAGAGAAATGATAATTATATTTGTATAGGTGTGTGGGTGTGTGTATGACATTTCTCCCCCATGGTTTTAGTTATGCTAATATCTAGGCATATGGGATAATAACAAACAGGTAGTTATTCAGCTCAGTTACACTGTTTGAGGCAGGGCATTTGGAGTTTGAACATCAGATTTATGTGCTATTACTCTCTGCCTTTCCTGCAATAAAGCACCTGATCCAAAGCCCAGTGGAGTTAATGGGAGTTTTGCCTTAAATGTATGATCTCCTATAGACCTGGCTATAAAAACTTGTTTGTAAACATATAGGGTAGCTCTATGTAATACTATTTCGACAAATGTTTTTCCCTCTTAAGTCAGCTACATTTGCCTGCATACATTTAAAATACAATACAGATGCCTATGGAGGTTGTGGAACCTCTGTCACTGGAGCTTTTTAAGAAAAGGTTAGACAAACACCTCTCAGGGATGGTCTGGATCCTTTTAGTCCTGGCTCAGTGCAGGGGACTGGACTAGATGACCTATTAAGGTCCCTTCCTACATTTCTAGGATTATACTTTCAAAAACCATGACAATGTTTGGAGTGATAAATGATGGGAAGAATAAGAGATAATCATGCCCCCAGTCTACCTTTTAAACTCTGTGGGAACAAACTTCTTCGCCCACATGGAACCTAATGATTTTAATGGAGGTCCACCCATGTTCACCACATTGTAGGATCTGGACTAATGTTTGTAAACACTGACTATCTCAGAGATCACTTCTTAATTAGCTCCACTGTCACCAAATTTGCTCTCCCCAACACATCTTACTTTTCCCATTACATGTAAAATAAGTTTTAATGAACGTTACTTCTCCCCAAGAACAGAGAGAGATGGGGCCTGGTTATACTCTGATTGGAATTAGCATAAATCCAAATAACTCCAGTCAGTGCGGTGTTGTGCACTTTACGCTGGTGTGAAACTGGAATTAGCAATATCAGGCTCAGACCCAATTATCACTTTAAACAAAACAAACAAAAAAAAAACAACAACTTCAAAACGATGACCAAATTCACAATGAACAATGAATCTACAGTTCATTCTCTGGAAAATAGATTAGAATATTCCTTTTATAACATGGTTTTGAAAAGCTTATATTATATATTAACTATGTTGATAATACTTAAATACATTGATCTACTAGATATATAACCACATTTATGCCCCCCCCAGTTTATTTTGTTTAGTATAAACTCATGTGACAGTATAAAGTTTTGCCTCTTATTATGCAGCCTTTTTTGTCTGTATTCCAGCTTCCTTTCCCTCAGTAACACAGAAAAGCCTTGATTTCTATTGCTTTCCAGCTTTTTCTTTGTCTGTGAAATATTCCTGGTTTAGGAGGTCTGAAGTCCCATAGCCTCTCTCATAGCTGATGGTGCAGCCAACCTGCTACTGCTTATTTTAATCTGTGTGTCTTGCTAAACTGCTGTTAAGCTACAGTCCTTATGCCTGAAGGAAAGAAAAAAAAAACAACCCAGCAAAAGGATCTTGTGATGTAACCTGCTTAGTTTATTGTGTAAAACAGACTCTTATTCAAATAGCTTTCCTCATGGATCTGAGTTTCTGTCCATCTAGAGAGCCTGGTCTGCAGGTTCTTTGACATCCAGGGATTACAGGATCAGGCCAAATAGGCTTTTTCTTTGTTTGGAGCTTACAGCCTCATTTGGTGATGACACTTGTTTCAATTCAGCACTGAGATGTCCAGGTGAAGTGGCAGTGAATCTCTAGAGGCAGCTGAAAAACACAGAGCTTCTGGGCAAATTCTGTGGACTAAAGCCTACTCCACATGCAGCACAGGCCAGAGGAACTTGTAGCTCGGGTCCTGCATGCTTCGCTACATATCGCTGCTTAACAGGGCATATGGGCAGGTTACATAAGGAAGTAGGAGAGTCAAGAACAGTGGGACATGATTTCACATTATGCAAAAATATGCGTCCAGTGGCTGAGATGGAACCAAACGATACTTCAGTTTATGAGCTAGAGTAACAGATTCTGAGCAGGCTACTGGCCTCCTCCACAGGATAGATGAATGGAAATATGGCAGGATAAAAATCCTACTATCAATAATTCCTACCCAAATCCCAACACCCTTGTTCATTGTGAAAGGCGAACATATGAGAAACGTATGAGAAACTTGCACGGCCATCAAGTTGTTATTTAATGGGTGCAGACCATCACGTCACACTTTTGGTGCTCTGAGGAGAAGTTAGTCTTAGGAAGGCAGAGTGACATCCCCGTCTGAAGGGTCTCCTCTCTTTTCTACAGGTTCTGGTACTGTGCTCATCATTGTAGTATCTGAGCACCTTCCAGAAGTGCATTAAGTGACGGGATTAACAACTGTCCTGTGTGATTCATTCTTTCACTTTCCTATTCCCTAAGAGTTGTTTTAACATA